TGATATAAGAATCTTAAGATTAGAGCTTGTTTTGTTTGTAATTTTTGAGAAGTGCTAACATTCTCTTTTCCTTTTATAGACATGAAGGAACCAGTGTTTGACTTTGTTCTGCCACCCAAATATCATCCCCCCCAGAAGAAATATCCACACCGTCAACCTCTGAGGTACCTGGACAGGTACAGGGACAGTGATGAACCCATCTATGGCATTTACTGAACCAGAAGAAACATGCTTCTTTCCATAGGAGACCCGGACAGAATACTTTGTGTGTCTGGTCCAAAAAAACAGAAGTCCATAAAATATAATTGAAAGTCACCCAGCTTATCTTATTCTTATCACCTACTTGGAAGAAAATCCAGTTTCCATCTCTCTTGTGTATATGTGTCACAGACTTTGTTGTTATTATTTTTTCCAGTATTTGATCAAAAAAACTTGAAGAATAAAATATTTTTATTTAAATAAAATTAGACAATACATTACATGTTGCAAAGTGTTCAATCACCACAGAACCTGGACTATGCATTATCTTTCATATTAAAAAAGAAAAGCATGATTTCAAAATATTTGAAACCAGTTTCATGGGAAGAAGCCCGTGGAATTCACTTGCAGACTAAGGTTGCTGGGATTGTCTTGCATAGGTGTGGGCAGCACATTCCCTCTGTTTCCAGTGTGCCTGCATTAAAGCCTCCAACTAAGAGTGTTTTCCTCTGAGCCAGCCTTGACTGCTGATGACTAAACAAGTCCCTGCAGTTTTATTGGCAAGATTTTCAGAACTGGTTTATCACTGCCTTTTTCCCAATATTAAGCGTGACCTAACTGACTTTGGGCCTAAGGCAGGACTAAAACTCACAGTCTTCAGGTTTCTAGCCAAATGCCTTAACCACCATACCAGACTGTCCCTCAGGGCCCAACTATGATTACAATTGATAATTCTTTGGGCAATCTTCAGGGGTGGCGAGTTACGTTTTTTGATTGTTTTTATATTGGGTTTTTATTCTTTGTAATCACCTGGAGTCCCTGAGAGTGAGTTGGGCAGCCATATAGAGCCATTGCAAATAACTACCAATGTGTTTCTGAATGAATGCTATTGGAAACTTACTTTAGATCATACCCTTAGAATTTAATTAAGGATGAGACATATCGCAGGAGCAGCTTTATACAGCAATTTTAAGAAAATATATGGCAATATTTGGAGGAAGATGTATTCCATTATTTACATTTAACTTAAATTTGTAAAATGTCACACTTATGTATTTATACTTTTTTAAAAGTCCTTAATGATTTTGTTACTCTCCTAGCAGTTTAACAAATAAATAAGATGTATTGGGTTACTCTTTTCTCATTTTTATAAGTTCTAGTGACCTTTTCTAACTTAGGACTGATGAACTATGAAGCCCAAAATTTAAATAATTTTCAAAAAGTTAGCCAAGGTCTTTGAGGGAAGAATACTGAGGATCCTTTGTAAGAGTTTGGTCATTTTTTTAAAATTATCTTTTGATACTTGCAAAAGTTACTGCCTCTTAAGTACTGTTCTAGTAAGTTCAGGGGCTAAGTAAGCATTGCCATTTTTTCTGCTGTAGAAGGGATTAGAATTGTGGTATCTTGAACTTTTTATTCAATGGGGTATGGATAGATCTGTGGTTAATTATGAGAAAAATGAAAAACACCTATTTTTTTGTAGCTAATCTGTGTTTGACACACACTAAAGGATAAAACAGCAACCAGGTAAATATCATGAATTGCCATTGTTTCTGATTTGTGTTTGTGTCCACTTAAGTATCCCAGAATTGTAAAATTGGGGAAGATTTAGTTTCTGATCTGGCCATTCTTGTCTGAACTCAGTGATTCAGATGCTATTGCCAGCACTGCATTGAAGTCAGCTCAGTTCTAGGAAAGACTTAAACCAGAAGTCTTCAGCAAAGACTAGTCCAAATGATCACTATGGGTTGGGTGCTGACCTTTGGAAACTTATACAGATAACTGCTACAGAAACAAACAAGCCTTTACATACTAGTCAACAAAACAAAGGTTCTAGCTAAAAAATTCCATTGGATTAAGATGTTTAAGATTGGGTAGGACTTGGACCAGGAAAACGGTCTTTAGGAAAATTGTCCCATAGTCCAATCATCACAACTGAACAATCTTACTGGGATCAAACCCTGAATAATGAGCATAATGTAGCTTGTTTGATTTTGGTTTAAGGTATTATGAGGCCAGCCATTCTGGCTTATGTGCCTGGGATGATGCTTTAGCACAATGTGTGATCCCAGCCAGGTGGTCAGAGCCGTGAGGAATTGACTAGCGTGTAACTGAAAGCAAATGTTGGACTCCAGAAATGTAGAAATGCTTTTAAAGTTTATTCTCCCCTTCAGCATTCTGGAACAGGGTAGGCAAACAAAATCTGACTCTTCGGAAATATAGCCAAGCAGACTAAGAACTCAGAAAAACATTCAAAATGTAATTTCATTTTATTTTCATTTTATTTTCATTTTATTAAATTTATACCCCGCCCTTCTCCCGTAGGACTCAGGGCGGCTTACAGCCAGTTAAAAACAGTTCATACAATACAATAAAAGTTTTAAAAATCATTAAAAATAAATATATAATCGGCCGCTTCTACTAAAATTTGGCTAAAAACAATTTAAAATGCCCCTAGGCCAGTCCTGCCCGCTGGAACAAC